AGTACAAAGACAAAAACACTCTAATTAGAGAGGTAGGGGATAAGCAAAATCTGTGCAGGAGAGTGGGAGATACAGGCTTCCATTATGGAGTGAATAAGTTAGGGGAATAAAAGGTATACCATAGAGAATATAGTCAATGATACTGCAATTGTGTTGCAGTAAGTGTGTTGCATGGTGACAGATGGTAGCTACACTTGTGGTGAGCAAAGCATAGTGTAGAAACCTGTTGAATCACTATGTTGTACACCTGAAACTGCTGTCACATTGTGTAACAAATAATAAGAAGAAGACGAACAAGCTAATCATTGCCCTTGAGAAGATTAGTCTTAAGCAGGGAAGAGGCATTGCAAAAGTAAGTGTTGTAGAAGGTAGGGGGTGATGATTTTCACACAAGGAGCCCTGAACACGAAGAAGCTATTTTCAGCAGCAGGGTTAGCAAAAGCACTGTGTATGATTGTGATGTTTGATGATTGTATACTGCTTTATCTTACACAGTGTATTTTCCCAATCATAGTATCCCTTCTTTCTCCAAAATGCAATTAAATCAACAAATGAATTAGTATTATCCCCATTTTGCATATAAGAAAACGAAGGCTCAATAAATATGTTAACTGACCAAAATTCATGCATCTAGGGATTGAAACTAGATGTTATTCTACATTTAAAATTCACTCTCATTATGCCAAATTACCTTCATTTCTAGAAACCTCTAGGTTTAAAATATGGCTATTCTTAAATTCATTTCAATTCACTGGGCATGAGAAACCAACTTCCTTCTTTTCTATTCCAATTTGTTTTAACACTCATGAGATCTTGTTATGTGTGCTTCATAATGAAACCACTGTACTTTGTTTCTGTTCTTATTTGAAGCTTTTTTTGTTGTTCACTGAAAATATAGAGTTAATCTGGGGCGCCTGGGTGGCTCAGTAGGTTAAGAGTTCGACATCAGCTCAGGGCATGATCTCACGGTTAATGAGTTTGAGCCCCACATCAGGCTCTGTGCCGGCAGCTTGGAGCCTGGAGCCTTCTCTCTCTCTGCCCCTCCCCTACTCACACTCTGTCTATTTCTCAAAAATAAAATAAAAACATAAATAAATAAATAAATAATAAATAAATAAAGTATAGAGTTAATTTGATTCGAACCAAAACTAATGCATGATCTTACTGAAAAGATGAAAAAATAAGAAAATATTTTCCAAAGATAGCTATTATTGTTTCCTATTTATTCATAGTACTATTTTTAAAATAAATTTTATTATAGCAGTGAATTGCAATGTACTACAGAGATTTTAGTCTTTATGCATATTTATTTTCATATTGTTGACATTAGCACATTAGATTAGTCTCCTTTTTAAATTTAGTTTTTATCTTTTTAATTTTATTAAGTTGTTTTTATTTTAATTCCAGTATAGTTAACATACAGCATTGTTTCAGATGTTCAATATTGTGATTCAACAATTCAATCCATTACTCATTGCTCCTTGCAATGTCTCTCTTATCTAATGACCAGCAATTTTGTCCCCTTTTTCAAAAGTGAACTTTGGAGTTTGTGATTTTTTTTTTACAGTGTTTCTAGAGTTCCGACATTTCCTTGTACTTTGTTTATGATAATGTGTGGATCCACCTCCTACTTCCTCCTAGGAACACCATGCTGGTATTCCTGAATAAATATGGAAAAGTCAGCATCTCACCGTCTGTACATTGCCCATTCCTCTTTGTGACCCCTCTCCTGCCCCACACCTCCTACCTTTGTACCATCACATACCTATGTTTGATTCCTGCAACACTGACCATGCTCTCTTGCAAGTTTTTTGTCACCTCTTTCTTTAGCTAGTTTGCCCTCCTTTTTCTCTGCATCGTGGTCATATTGAGTCCTCCCTTTTCTTTTAGAGGAAGTGAGTCCTCTCACCTCCAGCCTCTCTGCTTGGTCTCAGTCCTTGTCCTGTTGCATACATACAGCCAGGCTGTACACATGTCCCTTTCTGTCTAGTGTACCCACAGAAACACTGCATTCAAATGCACATATTTTTTTTTCTGAAATCAGGCCAGTTGTTCAGTGTTCACCATTATAAGCAGATACTTGATGCAAAAGAAAAAAAGAAAAAAGACAATAAAAAACAATGACAGGAGCAACTAGCCAATCAGTATAATGTCCCTTCTCTGAGTACAATCAGCTCCAGCTGTAGGCCCTTTATCTTGAGAGTTCATAGGATAATGCACACACATAATTAACCCAAATAAACCCACTTTCATGAAAAACATTTTGAAGACTTCAGCACAAAAGAGCACTTTTTGGTCCAGATCCTGTACTATTCTGAATTTTTAAAAAGACCGCACAGAGGCCTCATCAACAGTCCCCTAATTAAACTCATCAGTTCACAGATGTTTACAGGAAAATGCTCAGCAAAAATTTCAACCAAGAGTTCCTGTTTCCTGAGAAGAGAGATGTATGATGACAATAGTAATAGTAATAGAAATAATAGCTAACATTAATAAGCATTTTAATGTTCCTACCATTTTACATAGGTCAATACATTTAAATAAATAACCCTTTGAGACAACAGTTATGATCATACCTATTTTATAGATGTCAAAAACTAAGGCTAATAAGGTTAAGTAACTTGTCCAAAGTCACACAGCCAGTAAAAGCCAGGACCAGGACTCAGATCCTGGTCTGCATGACTCAAATGCATATGCTCTTAACCACTGTGTTCTGTTGCCAGGATCATACCACCTGTTCCATGACTAAAATCTGTGTAAATATTCCAACTCTTTATAGTCACCAAATAGTGAGTCTAAAATCCCACTATTGTAAACCACTATTATCCCCACTTCTCACCTCCACCCTTTGCTCAACTTCTACCTTCTGGCGTAAAGACTACTCTGGTAGTCTAAGAGTCTACATGCAAAGTCATTCTCAGTAAACATGCTTGAAGTTTGCACTTTGTCTTACTAGAATATGAGATGCTAGGTAGCTGGGGACCTTATCTATCTGGGAGAGTAATAGCGATGAATGGTTAAAAGCCTGGCCTCTGGATCCAAACTGCTTGGCTTTTAATCTGCTTCTACCACTATCTACCATGATCTAATTGGTCATTAGATCAATGGCTTTGGCCAAGCTTTTTAACCTCTTGGATACATGCTTTTTTAATCTGTAAAATGAAAAGAAATTATAATAGCTACCACACAGGTTGTTGTGAGGTTTGATTGTATTCATATGTGTAAATAATTTGGAATAGTGACTCATGTTTAATACAGAGTATATAAGTGCTATGATTAGGATTTTCATTCTTAATATTCATTACTACATCTCTAATGTGTAGAACCATGATTGACATATTATAGGTATGCATTTGACCAATGGATGAAAAAGGGATAGACAAGTAGAAATACAAAAGGATTGAAGAGAATGTCATTTGTCAAGAAGAGAACTATAGGAACCAGTGAAAAAGCTTATAGCTTAATGGAGAATTCATGGTTAGTATTCATACACATCAATCAAGTTCAGTTCCCTCCAGTCCTGGGGTCCCTGATGGGCTACACCATCAAGAATTTATTGGCATATAGAATTTACAACAACATGGATAGAACTAGAGGCTAAGTGATATAACCAGTCAGAGAAAGACACATGTCATATGATTTTACTCATATGAGGAATTTAAGATACAAAACAGATGAAACAAGGGAAGGGAAGTGAAAATAATATAAAAACAGAGAGGGAGATAAACCAGAAAAGACTCTTAAATATAGAGAACAAACTGAAGGTTGCTGGAGGGGTGTTGGTTGGAGGGATTGGCTAAATGGGGAAGGGGCATTAAGGACAACCCTTGTTGGGATGAGCACTGAGTGTTATATGTAAATGATGAATCACTAAATTCCCGAAATCGTTATTACACTACATGTTAACTACCTTGGATTTAAATTTAAAAAAAAAAAGAATTGGCACATTGAATTATATGACAACATAAGGCAAAAAGAAAACAAATGCAATATTGTAAAGCATTCTATGACTAACATGCTAATTAAATAGTACAGAGAATATGTAAGGGATCCAATCTAATGTTCTTTGGCATTTTTATTTTAATCTGCATCATTTCAGCAGAAATTAACTAATCTCTTGATTAAAAAATAGTAGCCAAATAAGATATTTAAGTACTAGGTATTTAAAATATTTCATAAATATTTTTACACCATTTAAGAGAAGTGCTGCAGAGATCCACTGTAATGAATGTTATGTTAACATAATATTATATAATGTAATGAAACTATATGAATATTACAGTTTGGTCCAACAATTCCACTTGTATGATTTATCCTGAATAAATCATAATGTTGTGCACAAAAATAGAAAAAAAAGTTTTACTGCAACATTATTTATAGTAGAAAAAGATTAGAAGCAAACTGAACATGTTTTAGTAAGATTGGTTAAAGCATTACGTTACCGCTGTACAACACAATGCTGTATAGAAACAAAGGCATGTTGTGGAAGTACATCTTTAATATGGACCAATGGTCAGTCTATATTTAAAAAGCAGGTTCCAAAACAATATGTACAATATGGTCACAATTATTTTAAAAAACATACCCCAAATAAGGAGACTTTGGTTAATTGTTACTTTTTTTTTTTAGTTCAATAAGTATGTATTACTTTTGTAATTGGAAAAACTATAGCATAAGAAGAGAGACATTTGACTCCTCTTTTCTTTTCTCTATATATAGTATTCTTATTTCCATTATGATACATTCCTTTCTCATAGAAAAAGACAGAAGCAACTTCGTTTTTTTTTTTTTTTTTTTTTTGACATCAACAAATGTACCTTATCTGCTTTGGCTAATGCCACTAATCCATCTTTTCTATCAAAGTTTAATGTAGATACTGTCTTATAATGATTGCAATTTAATCTTTAAATAAGGTCATAACTCTACGTATCTTTTTGCCTAACTGTTTCTTTTCACCTGCATAGGTTTGACTCTACTATTGAATATTATTTTCCTTTCAGGTGAACAACTACAGTTTAGAAGAAGTGACTCATGAAGAGGCAGTAGCAATATTGAAGAACACATCTGATGTCGTTTATCTAAAAGTTGGCAAACCCACCACCATTTATATGACTGATCCTTATGGTCCACCTGACATTACTCACTGTAAGCACCACACTCACTGTCACCTTTGCCAAGTTTATAAAATTAAAATTCTGCAAAACTTGGTAAATTCCTCTGCTTGCATCTTCACTCTTGTTTAGCTTGTGGAAATAGTTCTGAGGGATGCTGTGTTTTACTCCCTGGGTTGCCTTACAAGTCCTTAACTAGTGTTTTGAAGGTAGGACTCCCTAGTGGGTTAGGAAGCCCACCATTTAAGAAAGGCTTATGGTATATGTGGTGGACAGTGTGATAACAATAGTAACAACACATTTTTAAAGGTTATTTCTCAAGGCCCTAAAGCGTGATAGCTCTCAGGCCATAGCATTCCCCCTTCCTAGTTGAAATCTATAAAGTAGCAAAGCAGGAAAGAGAGACTGGCAAAATAGACACGAGATAGCACTGTGCTCCTTCCTGGGGAGAGGCTCTTGCACTTGAATGGTGGAATTATGACCCTCTGTCAACATCATCATGGCTCTTACCTTTACCTGAATATATTACATTGGCAGGGAAGCCAGGGAAAACTCTTAGTCACCCTGGCAGTAGAGATGGATTGTGGGTGGGGTTTTCTAGGGCAACAACTCACTATGAGATGCTGTGTTGAATCCTAATAAAGTCCACTGCTACATAAGCCCCAAGTTTTCTTCACTTCTTAAAAGTCAGTTAGAACCTTATCTAAGGTGCTGTCTTTGGAGACTAGATTTAGAAGCAATTTATTTTTTTGATGTGAGTCTAAGAAACGGTTTTATCAACATCAGTAAGCTTGCTCATTCTGGAATGTTGAGAAACCAGTCGTGAGATTTGGAAACACAGAATATCTTCAGGACCTGGCATTAATTAGTACTATGGTCTTAGCAACTCATTTAACCTCTCTTAGATTTATATGTTTCTCTTGAGAGAAATTTAAAGGCTGAATAATTTTGTTACCTGCCCATTGTGTTAGCTGTTGCTTTTCTTAACGATGATTCGAAAATGACTTACCCCCCAAATATGTCTTTTTCTCAAGCATGCAGTAAACTGAGATCAGCCTTACCTTAGGATATGAAAGAATTTTAACTTTCAAAGGTTTTCAAACTGGATGAATTTAGAAAACTCAGCCTTGAGACTTTGAGCTGCTTCATGAAGGGAATGTAAGGTCAATGTGAAAGAGGTGAAAGCGATAAAACAAAACTTTGCTATTCAATTTAAAAAAATAGATATATTGAGTAACTTTAATAGTGTAAGACACCTTGCAATGTAATATGTGGGATACAAAGGAGATGCAATCATGGCCTTCATTGGAAGGATGGCTAATTCAAACATATGAAGAGTAGAAATATTTGGCAATATAAGAGGGATGTACATGCCATATGAATGGTAAAAATAAAGGACTTTGGGTCCTCAAAGGAAGAGGATATCACCTGTCTTTGGAAGGATCATAAAATGCTTTATGCAAAGGGTGGCATTTAAATTGTATCTTAAAGAATGGATTAAATTTCAAAATCAGAGATGTGTTAGGAGACAGAAATTGTGGATTACTGATAAAAGTACATATGTTGTAAAAACTAGCCTTTGTTTGAGAACTGTAGGATATGTGTAAGTGGGATATTAAAATGGATCAATCTTGTAAGACTGACAAAAGCAAGCATTTATATTTAATACAATAGTGGCAATGGAGAGTACTTAAACATTGTCAGAGCTGTGTTTCTAAATGTATAAAATGGATTTCTAGAGAGGAATGGGAGGCAAAAGACCCATCCAGAAGGCGTTTTCAGTCATTCAGAAGGGAAATGAATTACTGTGGAGGAATAGAAAATAAAGGCCAGAGTTCTTGGCTTTTCTGGGAAGGGAGCACAGCATATCTGAGAATTTAGGTCTTATGCAAGAACTTCCTCCGAGGAGCCTTCTAGATTTGATGATTGGATATTAATTATGTGAAAAGAATGCTCTGCAATTAGAAAGCTAACATTTTTATTTCAATAGAAAATTAATCATCCTTATGAAAATGTGTGTTCTGGCTCTCTCCTCCAATTCTTCTCTTCACCTAATATTATATGAACTGGGTTTATAGAAATGAATGTTATTACATCTTTCCAGTCTTAAAGGTCACCATGGGCTTGTGCATATTAAATGCAAACAAACACTAACTCCTCCCTCTTGGGAGACAAGAAAATCCTCTGCATGTAGCAAAATTTTCCTATTTTTAGCGGAACTGTAGCATGACACATTGAATCACCCACATAACAGGTTTTTTCTCTTTTATTTTTTTTCACCCCTTAGCTTATTCTCCACCGATGGAAAACCATCTACTTTCTGGCAACAATGGAACTTTAGAATATAAAACTTCCCTGCCGCCCATCTCTCCAGGAAGGTACTCACCGATTCCAAAGCACATGCTTGTTGAAGATGATTACACCAGGTCAGATATGCTTATTGGTTAATTGGGTTTGTGATCATTACCAGAAAGAAAACTGCATTTGCCTAACATGTCAGCCATAGCTTTGGGGGCTAAGTAAATTTTCTGAGCACTATTCAACCGTATTATAGACTTGTCTCCAGTGGAAATGTGCAAATTGTTGTAAACATTTGACATTGTCCTCCAATAGGAATCAAAATTACTAGTTCTTTGTAAGAATTAGTTATATACACTTATTCATCACTTTGCAGTTTATTAACATTCTCACACATGATGTCATTTCAGCTTGACAGCCATTTTGTAAGATAAGTATTGTTACTTGAGAAAAGGTGTTGTTGCAGTTCAAAAAAAAAAAAGGAAACTTGGTCTTTTAACTCTAAATTCCATGTTTTTGATGCCACTGGATACTCACATTTCAGTGGAATTGGAAAGAGGGTCAACCTTTCCTTTAGTGCAATAGCCACACATAGAAAGAAAAGGAGCAAAGTCACCCGCAAGTCCCTAAAGCATAAGAGCTCTCAGAGCTATCAGCAATGCTGTTAGGCATTGCTAATGCCATGGGATAAAACTAAGTTTAGGCAGCATGCCTCTGAAAAAGTTGGGTGTGACAGTTCACAGAGTAGACCAACTTGGTTGATTTAATTGTCGTCTTTAAGTATTCAATAAATATTAGATAATTAATAGGTCACCAAATTAATAAGTGGGTAAATAGTAATAAATGTACATTTTTTTATCTTTAAATGTTTTTATTCCAAAGTAATATATGCTCATTGCATTTGGTAAAGTAATGCAAAAATGTTCAAGAAAAAAACTCTCTCCCAAATTCCTGCCACAGCAACCATCTTGAGGTTCCCAATGTAACATCCTGACCTGAACCTTTCATACCTTCTGCACATTCATAAAAACCTATACAAATTCAGAGTCAGATATAGATGGGGCTTGACATTGTTTTTATAAAGTAAATTCGTATTTTAGAAATTGCTCTGCAACTTGCTTTTCTCACTGAATAATACTTTTACCCAAAATGAGATTACATATAAATATGTACACACTTTTTTTCTGAAAGTATTTGTGTATAAAAATGACAGAGACGGACCCTTTTGGTTTAATATCCTGCCTGTCTAATGAAGCCATTTATCAGCCTTTAAAAAAATAGAGACTTCCTGCTGCTTAACTTTCCTCACCGGTACCCGTGCATGCTTGGATTTTTTCATTCCTTTGCTATTTCTTTTTAAATGATTAAGCATTTTCCATTTATTTTGCAATTTCAGGTTTGCTGAAGTAGCTTGTTACATCTTTAGCCAAGGAATGGAATGTTGAGATGATGCAAATGTGCATCTGTGGTATAAATCAAATATAAACTTCTTCCTATGCTGAAACATCTAATCTCTGTGCTCTTAATTAAAATGAGGGCTGCAGCAAAGATAATCCTCATGGCTCTCTAAAGAATTGTGTAAATATAGGCACCTTTATTCACCAGAGCAATGATCTATTTGCTTTCATTCTATCACTAATATTTGATATGATTTTAATTTGAAAATGTCGTTTTATCTTGCGAGGCCCCATACGGAATTAAAATTGATTAAATCCCCTTCATAATCCAGGCCCTTTGCTAGCTGTTTTACATATGCTACTCATTTAATTCTCCCCAAAACACAGAGAGAAGGTCTTTCACCCTCATTTTATAGATGTAGAAGTTGTAGTTTAAAGATGTTAAAGAACTTCCTTATATAGTCACACAGCTTTTAGGTAGAAAAACTGAGTGCCCTGCCAGCTACAAAATCCTGACCAGGAAGAAATATTTTAATTTCCTCCTTATTTTGAAAATGAAAACCAATTTGAATAAAACCGTTCACCATAGAAACATGTAGCTCTAAAGGATCCCAAGAGTTTCGGTAAGTTCTAAAGGCAACTAGATCAGAGTTGAGACCCATATCTACCACTGTTGAACTATGTGACTGCCAGAAAATTATTCAACCACTGAAAGCCTGTATCTTCATCTGTATAATGGGAATAGTAATCAAATTTTTCTCAACAGACTGTGGTAATGATTTAATCACTTAATGCATGCAAAGAACTTATAACAGGGCCTGACACATCATGAATATTAAATGAATATTGTCTATTTACAGTACTCTACTTGTTACAATTCTTACACTACCTAACATGCTGCATGGAATGTTTTTATTGATGGCATCATAGGAATAGAGTCCACCTCTTCCTATAGTGTTATGCCTCGGTATTGTAGTTCTTGTCCCATCTCTTCCTTTATTCCTTGGCAGGACAATCTCACTAATAACTCTGCATAGAATCATCCAAATGACTGGTGCCTGGCAAACTTGTGAAGTAAATTATATCAGTTTACACACACACATGCACATATAACCCTCCTCCACTCTCCCCATTGCTTTGACCTCTCACAAGGGCCTGTGCTAGAGACACTACCATGGATCTCAGAGGTATTTCCTCAAAGGCAAATTCATTGCCTTGTTCATAAATATTTATTGGATACTTCCTACCAGACAGTAGGCACTATACTAGGAATGCAAAATTGAGTAAAAAACAGCATCTCCAAGAAATCTCAAATTGTTACAAAAATAGAGGTAAACCAGTGGATCCCTCAATGCCTATTCCCTGATTATGCAGACCCTCTTTGTGAAAGTGCCCATAAAGCCTAATTTATTATTTTTTATTTAAATTCTGAGATTATGTGCGTTGGTATCAAAATGTCATATTTTTTGTGGTAGTAAATGGCAGATATTACTTTACCATTTCCTTACTTAGAAAACGAAATGTGCACAACCTTGTATCAGTTCTCATTTTTTAAAAGAAAAAGGTCTGTAAAATGTCAAAGTGTGGGAACTACTAACTATAACAAACAAAACTAGAGCATTAGGAAGTGCTTTGGTGCTGCCCTAGCAGAGTTTACTAACACCACAGGCTTTACTTAGTAAAGATTTGTAAATGAATTTGAGGTTTATATGAATGCCCAAGGAAAAGCCGATGGAATCAAAGAAAGTTTTCAAGAGGAGATAAGTTTGAGTTTGAGTTTGAGTTTGAAAAAACTGTGTAGGCCTTGATTGGAAAACCAAGGGATCAGGGAGGGTATCCATGGCAGGGGTAGTACATGCAGATTCATAGAAGAATGTGAAATAGAATAAAATAAAGCAACTGTTAGAGCTTGAAAAAGGAAAACTCAGAAAAGAGTATCGTTCCTACCTTTAAGTTGTCTTTCAATCCCTACCCTTTCTGTTGTACACAACCTCCTTGTAAAACTTAAAATATATAAGGTAGTAAAAACAAAAAGATCCCTACCATGTACTGTTAACACAAAATCCTTTAATATGTACTATTGCCCTTATTTATATTATATTATTTTTCTTCATTTTTATAAATAACAAAAATGCTCAAGGAGTTTAAGTCATTGCCTCATTTCATACAGCAAGCAAATAGCAGAATCAGAATTTGAATTCAGGTCTGTCTGTGTTCCAATGCCTCAGCCTCAGACCCCACATCCCATCCTATGCATTCAGTTTCCATGGAGAAATGTTAAAGAAGATTGGGCTTGTGTCAGGAGACTGGTTTCTGGTCCCGTTCCTACCAACTAAACACCTAGATGACTCTGAACATTTAATCTCTGTGAGTCTTGATTTTCTCATCTATAAATTTAGGGGGAAAAGGTACGTTCCTAATGGACTTGTGATAATATGTGTGAAAGTTGTCATTTTTAAAGGACTAGATAAATTTATTATGATCCTAAGGTGTTACGGTAGCTTATATTTGAGGCCTACATTGAATTTTCCTAAAATAGAAATCAATTCCTAGAATTGGTCTCTAATGATGGGACTTAAGCTAATAGGGAAACATTTCTTTGAAGTTTTTGATTACAAATGTGTGATTATTATCATCATCAATAATAGTCATCAAATTGTCAGCTTTTTATTCCATATACTTGTGATATCTTACTCTATTGTAAGAAACATTTCTGTTTTCCTGAATCATATTTACATTTGGGGGGGGGCAGAGTTGGATATAGTTAAGAACTTTTTAAAGGATTTTTGAATAGAAAAATGCTTACTATCTTAGCTAGATTTTTCAAAATTATTTCTTACTATTTATGGAAACACGAGTAAACTGGGAAATTTTGTTTTTCTGTTGATTTAGAGAAAGCACAAACAAAAAGGCCCTGGATAAAATTTTCTTAGTAGAAAGTCTGTTGAGTCTTCTATAAATCAGTATTAATTGTGATGTAGATGTCTGGTCATAGATTTTTGGTAAACCTAATTTGGAAAGCTATCACTGTGATGCTGAGATGTATTTTTGGCTCAGAGAATTATAGGCTCTCAGACTTGGAAGGGCCATCAATGAATCTAAAGTCTAATCTTCCTCCTTCTGATGGGTAAGGAACACAAGCCCAGAATGATTGGTTGGCTGTCCCTATGTCCATAACTGTGAGTATTAGAATCAGATATAGAACCTGTGTCTTCAAATGCCGAAACTAGTGCTTACTCTTTTTCCCTAAGCTGGTGTTCACTTTCGTTGTTGTTGTTGTTTCTGAATGGGGTAAGAAGGTAACAATTATGAAAACTACAAACAATCAATGATCACCTGTGAGCAATGTCCACTTTGTTCATTACTTGCAACCAAGGATTCTGCCTCTACTGGGCCAAGTGTTAACCTGGTTACCCATAAGAGGTGCAAAGCACAGACCTTTACCATCTGGCTGGATATTATTAGGATACACAAGCAAATCATTGATACTAAAATAAAACCAAAAAACTTTGAAATGCAGTGTATAACTGCTCTTTCAAGAAGTGGTGACTTAATTTACCAAGTTATGAATGTGATAAATTTCATTACGAAAGTCAGGGATCTAAATTATAGCTATGAGCAATATATTTCCCAGTGATAAAAACCAACTTCACCTGGCCTTGATCTTAGTATACCCAGGTGTCTTTCTGATTGGCTCTACATAATGTTGCCTCACATAATTTGATTGCTCA